CTTATATCTGACCTCCGTCCTCCCCTTCAGCCTTCTATCTGACCTCCGTCCTCCCCTTCAGCCTTCTATCTGACCTCCGTCCTCCCCTTCAGTCTTCTATCTGACCTCCATCCTTCCCTTCAGCCTTATATGTGACCTCCGTCCTCCCCTTCAGCCTTCTATCTGACCTCCGTCCTCCCCTTCAGCCTTCTATCTGACCTCCGTCCTTCCCTTCAGTCTTCTATCTGACCTCCGTCCTTCCCTTCAGCCTTATATGTGACCTCCGTCCTCCCCTTCAGTCTTCTATCTGACCTCCGTCCTCCCCTTCAGTCTTCTATCTGACCTCTGTCCTTCCCTTCAGTCTCATATCTGACCTCCGTCCTCCCCTTCAGTCTTCTATCTGACCACCGTCCTTCCCTTCAGTCTTCTATCTGACCTCCGTCCTTCCCTTCAGTCTTCTATCTGACCTCCGTCCTTCCCTTCAGTCTTGCACGGTTGTAGCGGCTCCTCTGATGTCACTTCACACTGGGAGCTTCTCACAATGTACATTAGAAGCTGCAGCAAGACAGATAGAGCTCCGCCTCATTTTCTGGCCGGGGGACGTCCAGCATCATCTCTTTCCTTCCCGGCCTGACTGTCCCTGGCCCCGCCCCTTTCATTCCTTGGATTTCAGTTCTGTCAATCATGAAGGCTCAGCGTCACATGTGGGGGTTACCTAGGGCGGTCTGCATGCAAATGCGGCCTGCCTAGGAAGGACAAGTCCTCCAGACTGACACTCACTTATCAAGGCGTTTTGATATATAATCACGTCTAGAGGTGAGGTTTAGTTTCCACCCCACCCCCAGCCCTGGCTCCGTAGACAGAAGAAATTGCTATATCTGTCATGTTAAAGGAGAACTATGGGGTTAAGGCTTTTCCCCATAGTTCTCCTTAGGGTAATGGGAGGACACAAATTAGCGTCCTCCCGTCACCCAAAGCTCAGTATATAGGGAGCTGCAGCTCGCGGTATACTGAGACGCCGCAGCTGAAGCGGATCTTGACAATTATGTCTGGATCCGCCCAGCTGCGTGAGTGACAGCTGGCTCTGCCTATCTAGAGG